ATCTATTCAATATCAAGTATAAATGTTTGAGAGTGTTTCTGAAAAGAAATTATTTGTATGCATTTCCACAATGATTCTATGTTTAATTATGTTCCACAGTGGCGTTCTTATTGATTTTTAGCACAAAAACACCTGCTGATATTTATAGAATCCCCCTCTAAGTGCAAAATTTAATTTGAATGTGCGAAACGGTGTCTGAGAAGAAACTATGTGTATGTATTTCTCACAGTGGCAGTCTTCTTTGATTTGGGATTGGCACCAAAAACATAATATAAGTGAAATACTTTTTATAGATAATTTTTACAAAATCTCAATTCAATATGCCAAGCAATTCCACAGAAGATCTTTGCACTGTCATGCAATCAGAACACATTTTTTGGCCTAACAGCCATTATGTATTTTTTCAATTCACACAAAAAAAATTATGTAAAAAACCTTTCAATGATGAATATTGTCCTGTTTAGTTCAACTAGGCAATAGTGTTTTGAAGAATAAGATTACAACTTGTGAATTTTATAGATGACAATGAAGGCAGAGTGAAGACAATACCTCACACCACCCTTTGGTATATGCTGTACAAATACATTTTAAGTGTACGGTACTGGTAATATAAGTTCAAAACCAATTGCCACTAAAACGTTAAATAATAAACACATGTTGGAGGATCTCAATATTAACGACTTCAAGTCTAAACCCCCCGACGACATACGTACTAGTTCCCTATTCATATATAATCCGGCTCGCCACTTTATTACTGGTAACCAGAACATTGCCAATAGCAAATCTCTGCGAAATGTATCTAGAGATTCGATTTATCGTGAGCCTAGATACATCAATAGGAACCACAACTTCAAAACACTGATTTATTCAGTCGAGGATTATACAAGTAATGAGCCAAACTAAAAACAAAGACGTAAACCTGGTAAATTCTCTTTTAGTATGGGTTAAGCCAGTTAGGTCGTTGGTACATTTAAGAATTAAAAAAAACCAATTGGTCTAAGAATACTCATGTTACATCAATCTTTAAAGAACTAAATATTGCTAAGGACATGCCGTAACTCCATGATTAATATGTTGTTGTCCCCTCCCAGATAAATCACGAAAAAACTTATGTCTGTGTGTAAATTATATTACATCAACTGCTAGATAAAGGAATGAGGTATTGAAAATTCTCTTGGAAACTCAGCATATACCCCACGATACTAAACAAAGAGAAAATCCTGAATTGAATAAATATAGGTATGTTATATTTGCCTTTGGAATTTCAACCAAAAATGAACAGCTGGATCTTCCGTCACTTGATTGGATACCTAAACTATATAAGTGTCATAACAAGCAGCATTATATTACTTGTGCTCCACGAAACATTGACATCAATTTTATCAGAATCAAAGCTTCACAGTTATTTTGAAACTACCTACTCTAGGGTCGGTATGAATCAGATGTGGATACTTAAAAAATCCAAAGATCAGTAAAAATACATACAATCTAAGTTTCTTTCCTCCTGCAATGGTATAAAAACATTTGACTTTTCTACGCTTTTCAAAAGTATTCCATTCCAAACTTACAGACGATTGAAAAAATTGGTCTCACTTTTTCATTAGTAAAAAAAAGAAAAAGACCGACGTAAATACAAATATCTTTTTTAAGGAAAGGACAAATCATACTTTGTAAAAAAAAACCCACTCTAATTAAAAATAAATACTCTTTAACTGACGCTATTAAGATGCTTGATTGACAACAGATTTGTTACGTTTGGAGGACCTCGTATTCAATAAAAAATCGGCATTCCCACTTCTTCACGACTTATAAAAATAAGAAGATGTGTATGATTGCCAATGAGACAACTCTCTACCAGAGACCAAATGACATAGAAGTTAACAACTGTGGTTCATTTATACACAGAGGCAGACTTCACACAGGAGCTTCTAAATAATAATGGAAAGAAGCAAGCATTATTCTTTAACTCCACGTTCCATTATAAAGATGATGTCCGCTCACTAAATAATTAAATGTCTGGTGACTACGTTGAACGCATATTTCCCATCGAACTTGAAATAAAGAATGCAAAAGATACACTTAAGTCTGCCTCATATGTTGACTTACTTTTATAGAAATTGACAATGAGGGTCGATTGAGAACAAAAAAACTTTACGACAAAAGAGATGAGTTCAGCTTCCCAATTGTGAAATTTCTATTTCTATGTAACAACATTTCAGCAGCGCCTTTATGGAGTATATATCTCAAATTTGATACGATATTCAAGTGCTTGCATTTCCTATCATAATTTTCTTGAATGACGGTTGCTGCTGACAAGGAAGGTATTAAACTAAGGGTCAAAAGTGGTGAAGTTAATGTCATCCCTTCAAAAACTTTACGGACACAATCCGTTGGATTACCGGTATGGCATATCTGTTTCTCAGATGACAACAGACATGTTCCAAATGCCATAACCATAATCTCATCCTATTTTACTTGTATGTGACACAACCGAATTAGAAGTATCACCGGGTTTTAACTTACACGAGTAACCAGGTAACTAGATGGGTGCCACATTTGGAGAAGGATCTGCTGACCTTTCCGTAACACTTGAGATCACTCCCTATTTTGGCAGGGGTTCGTGTTACTTGGTCGTTAGTTTTTTATTTTGTGTTTTTATACTCTTTGTCGTTTGTCTATTTTTATGCAATGGCATTGTCAGTTTGTCATCGACTTATGAGTCCTTTGGTATCTTCCACCTATCCGTTGCAGTTTGGTAAATTTTAAATAATCTTTTTCTTTATGCCTGACAGATAAAACTGGTTCAAATGGAATGAAAATACTTTAATTGCCCTTTACCAGTCCATATTATGCTTAACTAAATACCTTACACATACAGTTTGTAACGAAATCATATGTGCTTCAATCATCATACCTTAATTAATGTTCATATGAACAGGTGTGTGTATTGCCTGTTGACAAATCTAAAATCTAATGAATAAAGATGAACTTGTCGCAGTGCAAAGAACTCTAATAATACTTTTAGAGCGAATGTTCATTCCTTGGATATAAATTGTTATTTGATTATGTTATACTGGCCATAACTTGAATTCATAAGTATTGTTCAAAACTGCATTGAAGACCTGTAAAAAGGATAGTCCGTTAATTCTATTACAAACATGTTCAATGTTGAAAATATGTCTTATGGACGTCATCATGACTTGATTGACAGTTGCGGTTTGATTGTCAAAATGACCTTGTATAATTTCCATTTGTTATAACCACAACTCCACCATAAATTTGTCGATAGTGATTTGTCACCCTTTTTCTTGTCATTACCTTCAAGTAAGGTTTTCCAATGTATCCGAAATGGCTTACAATTAAAACCAACTGAGTTCAACAGTGGTTTTTGTCTCGCCTGCGACAAATGTCAAAGAATGCGAGTCAAAGTGATGCAAATCCGACGTCGGAAAATATTGGTATGAAACTTTTTTCGGAAATTTTCAGAAGGTAGAAGGCAGGAATACTTTTTAACTTGTACACATAAGCTTTATATTCAAAAGTTTCTGTCTGGTAAACGGCTGTTGTCCTTGACCTCACGTTCATTGTTCAGTGATCAACTTTAAGTTCCCGTGTTTCATCTGTTTTCCAGATACTATAAGTAATATGTCAACAATATTTGGTCTATGGAATGATTATACGGTGAACATTTAAGTATTCAAGGTTCATTTATTAATAATATCTTTAACACATAACTTGTTTAGTTCATTTTACTACTTAGAGACTCTTGTGATATTTTCTAAATAAGTCAAAAGATTAAAATGGTAAAAAATTAGTTGGATTGCATATAAATGAAATTATGCAGTGGTTATCCTGTTTGGTATTTAGTAATCATGAAATGTTGTTTGCGAAACTATAAATCTGAACAAGTTGTTATGCATGGAGCTGAAATATATTGTGCATCTTTAGAATTAAACACATATACATGTTATAATCGCCTTATTAACAACTCGGTTGCCTAGGTAAACATATTTTATTGTTCAGACTCTTCAGATGATGTTATGATCAAAATTGGTTTCATATATCTCATACATATTCTTTATGTATTCAAACTTCAAGCATTTAATGCAAAACTACAGAAAGAGCCTTACAACTTACAACTTTATTTGATCACTCAGACACATTACATACGTGTAACAAAACTCTCGGAAACTGACACTCAAAAAGGTAATGAAATTCAGTGCCAATTCCTATATGACATATGTGGCATATTCTTACTTCTTTTGGAATGTTTGTCCACCTTCAGGTTTCTATGGGTATAGTCAAACTCACTCTCACTTTGAGAATTTTGATTTATATCTAGATATGTGCTCGGACTTTACCATAAATACATTTTACCAATTTTATGTCAAATTGAAATGTCAAAACGTGTATGACATCATAGAGAGATCACATTGACATGCTTTTCAAACGTGTCCATATCATGTCATTCTTTTCATTGGGAGAATAGAGGTATTTTTTCAGAGAAAACGTAATGAAAAGTATCCTTTTTTAAAAAGGCCCTCCTTACCTGTAAAACTACTTTCATTGTCTTTTACACATTATCTGAATAACACTAATGCAATTTATTCACGAAAATGTACGGGCATACTGATCCACGTTATATTGATTTCCCCATTTTCATTTTCAATTTTATGTTCTGGAGCATTTGAGATCACCCCGTTCTTTTTGGTGGGGTTTGTATGCTCAGTCGTGTTGTTTCTATGCAGTATTCTGTTGAATTGTTGGTATTTTCGTCGTCTTTTTTTTTTGCTATGACGTTGTCAGTTTATTTTCAACTTAAAAGTTCTGAATCCCCCATGGTACCTTCCGCATCTTTATTCAGATCGTGAAAACTGTTTTCAGATATGTTATAAGTTACATTTGGTTATTTAATACATGTGCCTATGAAAAAATCCTGGTAAACAAATAATGTGCATAGTATAACTGTTCAAAGAATAACAAAACTCTGCTTTTTACAGATATTATTAACAGTCCTGAAAAATTTTCCAACCGTTATCCTGGATGAAATTGGGCTAATCATATATCAGAGAGGTAACATATATAATGCTTTATAAAATGACATTAGATTACTGGTATCTTTGATGAGTATTTACTCTTCACGTAAAGTTAAAACTCGTATCTAATGCTTTTTGTTCTTAGTATCCATAGATATAGAATATAAATGAATTGTTAAAAAAAGCAAACCCATTGTAAGAAATAAATAAATAAAAAGTATAAACATAAGAGAATCTTTATGCATTTTAATCTGATTCGGGAACAGTTTTTTATACGCCCGTTTACGGGACGTATTATGGTATAACGTTGACCGTCTGTCCGTCCGTCCGTCCGTCGTCATTATGTCGGACATTAATTCAAAAACGCTTTAACCAATATGCATGAAACTTTGGTGAATTGTTTATATCTATTATCGTGAGCTCCCTTTCGTTTATTATAAATTTCAGATTTACCATTTTCGAGTTTTGTGGTTTTATTCATTAAAAAAGGGGGAATTTTCCAGTTTTCGGACAATAACTCAAAAAATATTTCACCAATTTGCATGAAACTTTTGTGAATTGTTCATATCTATTGACGTGAGCTCCCTTTCGTTTTTTATAAATTTCGGATGTACCGTTTTTGAGTTTTGGGGTTTTATTCATTAAAAAAGGGGGATTTTCCAGTTTTCAGACAATAACTCAAAAAATATTTCACCAATTTGCATGAAACTTTTGTGAATTGTTCATATCTATTGACGTGAGCTCCCTTTCGTTTTTTATAAATTTTGGATTTATCGTTTACGATTTATGGGATTTTATTCATTACGAAAAGGGGGATTTTCCAGTTTTCGGACAATAATTCAAAAATGCTTTCAGCATTTTTTATGAAACTTTGGTAAATTGTTTATATCTAGTTTTGTAAGCTCCCTTTTGATTTTATAAATTTTCGATTTTACATTTCCGAGTTATAAGATTTTATTTGTTTATAGTCTGACAACAGATTTACTAAGTATTGGGCAACATCACAGTTTATTGCACAACAGCAAGAAATCTTTCATATAACCAATTTCAAGTTCTTTGACTACATTTATTCAGAAACCTATAATATATCAAGTATTTAATTACAATCCAAATTCAGACCTGTATCAACTGAATATTGTGACCATTTTTGCCCCAACTGTTCAGGGTTGGACCTCTGCGGGAGTATCAAGCTACGCTCAGCGAAGCAGTTTATTAAATTGTTTTTTTTTATTATGTCTTGACTGAATAAAGCTGTTGCGCATACGTGTGTCATGTGGATACATTTTTTTGATTTGAATATGGATATTTTCAAATTCTTGAACATTTGCGAAAACATACAGTCTGGATTATTTTGACTTTAACATTTATTAAACTTTTTGTTAAAAAAGCGTCTCATTCATTTTTCCGTATTGTTTATCCTATCAGCTCTATTTATTTGATTTTTTTGAAAGATATATCGTTCATTATGTCTAAGGTGGTATTTATATTTGTAGAACAACTCACATACAAGTTTAAGAATTTAGATGTGCAAATAGCCACACGAACAAGCAATGGAGATGAAAATAAAAAAAATAAAAATTCAGGTAAACTATATAATTTTTGTTTTCTTCGTTGTTTGGACAATTGTGTGTGTATATACCGGTATACCACCCCTAATAGAGATTTCCAATAAAATGACATTACTCGGCATAACCAACCTATCTGACCGTATCACGACCTATTGCATTGAAGGATGACGGTAAGGAGCATAGATTGTATGGATTTTTGGCTCGTTGAATACACATACTTTGTTGGAACAGATGCTATTTAAAAATTTGCGTAATCTGCTATTTTCCTTCTTTACATATTTTATTATTAAATTTGGGATGATTTAATTGATAACAAACTTTCAAGGGAATGATTAATTCAGTTACCGGTAATCAAATGCACCGATCATTACTTTGTCATTTCACTTGACCCATATATTTATCTCTCAAACAGTGAATTCTTAAAGCTACTAAATCAAAATTAAGTTTGAAAAAATAAAAATAGTGGAATCTGAATCGGGATGATGTTCTCATTTTTTATTTATAAGTTATAAGATTAAAACAAGAGTTTCAAACACGCCGGAATGTATAAGGTGTACATGACTTGTTTCTCCCTTTTTTTTTTTTAGCATACTTCTATATTTATTTCAAGATACTTTTGTCAGAGGTAGTAATTCAGATCACTGATGCATCTTTCTGGTAGTTGTTTGTCACCATTCCGTAGATTTTTACCAAATGGAACTTATGAGGACTCATCTTCAAGCTAGATTATGATTACAATTTAATGAATCAGTTAACATTTTTACTTCTTGTCTTTAATTATAATGATGCATTGATTCTAGGAAGAGTCCGTACAAACGTATGCATAATTTAGAGTCATTGCTCTTAAATCGATTTTCTAAAATGTTTGGCGTTTATTTTGTGCAAATACGTATGAAAAACGGACAGCATGATAGCAAGGGGATATGATATTTACGGGTCTGTGCATCCGTCCGTTCTTCCGTTCCGTTCAAAATATAAAACGTTTAAAAGTATATACCAAATTATAGTTTGACCTGGATTTAGTGGTGCACTGCACATGGAAATATGATCATGTGAAGGGGCACATATTCTTGTTGCAAATGTTCTGATTAATACATGTACATATATATTATCTTCCATATTCATTACTGTCGCTTTGATCTTGTGGTAGTGTGCTCGCCTCGACAGTAACCCCTCCAGGGTGACCGGGGAATAGAAATATGGTCACTATTGGTCTTGTTCCGACCAGCAGTTAAACCATTGCCAAAGTGGGGCGTCAGTTTGACTGTGCGGGATGTACATCTACGCAATCACTTCCGGTCAGAGTGGGGACGTTAAATTCGATAATTCTGGTAGAAAGAATGCCACGCTCTCTGCACGTGTAATATGCATGAAATATTATCCACTGGACGTTAACCAACCAACTCTCAATCAATCGACAGTAGCTTAACTTAAATTTCATTTCTGGTGAGGCAAATGATTTGAATCTTGGCAGTCAAAGCCTCAACTTGGTTAGAAGACGTCAATGCCAATAGGGAGTGAACGGTTAATTGAAAATCTGAATCGCAAAATAGTTTTCAGCATTTACAAATGCAAGAAAAATCATAATTTTAAAAACGTTTGATTGATTATTTAATTGAATGTTGTCACCGGACACTAAGAGACAAAAAACTGCATGCATATTCAGGACAAGTAAAACAAAATAATACAATAGATATGCATACTAAGTCGACTATGATAACAGCATAAATTTCAATTGTGCCTGGAATAAAGAGCATGTTACATAGAGCCTAACATTTGTATGACTACAGACCCCCTATGGATCCTTGGTTCTGTTCCGTGTAGAACTAATGTACGCACCTACATTAAACGCCCCTACTCCTACTGGACGTGGCTGTGTATTTATACATTCCGGACAACCAAACGGACGACCTTTTTAAACATGTTATAAAGTTGAAAAAAAAGATCCTGTCTATGAAAAATCCAGATTTGTGGAATTTTATCATGAAATAATAATATTTTCAGTGCGCATTAAATCAATATATTTCAATGAAACTGCTGGTTAAAGACCAGACTCAAGCTGGCAGCCACTTTTAGCAGCCAATCAAGATAGCAGCCACTTTTTTCCAGCAGCCAATTTTCATAATATGTCTAAAAACCAAAAACCTATATAAGACTCAAACGTTCCAAAAATCTCAAAATCTTAGTTAAATATAATTTAACAGCGGAATTTCGACAGTTTCGCAGCTTGTGGTGATTCTCAAAAGATTTCAGACCGTTTCAAATACCAATAATGATAGCAGCAACTTTTTTCGGAGGAAACTGTATGTTTAATAATAAATTGTACAATCTAAAATCTTTTTTTTTCGTTTTTTTTCTCGTTTTTTTTTATTCCTTATGATTAAGAGGTTACAGAAACAATGTAGGAATAGAAAATAAAAAAAATCAAAGAACAACTAATATTGTTAATAATGGATTTAAGTAAGATATGAGAAATCGTGATATATGTATTATATTCCATGAACTGAATAAAAAAGATGTACGAGAGAAAATTACATACAAGCTTTCCATACACTCGGCATCCTCAAATATCCAGTATTTCAATTGAAACAATTTTCAATATCAATTTCTGTATATATGAAATAAAAACAACTCGATCTCAATGTAAAGTTAATCTTTTTTTTAATGTGAACAACTATTTTCTATAAAAATCCTACGTGGAATATTTTGTACGGCATGCGACATTACTAATTTATTTAATTAAAACTGAAATTTCCCTTACCAAATTAGGTAAACCAAACCAAACCAGACGGGCCCGGATCCCAGAAAAATATTTAAGTGGCGAATAGCCTGGGTCAATACCTTTGAAATGAGCTAGGTCTGGTTTGGAACGTTGCCGTAGGGATATGCCAAGGAGTACCGAATGTGTGGTTTGTAAGGAAAATACGTTATGGAGCAACTTTGAACCCCTGTGGTGGCCAGACGGGCCCGGATCCCAGAAAAATATTTAAGTGGCGAATAGCCTGGGTCAATAACTTTGAAATGAGCTAGGTCTGGTTCGGAACGTTGCCGTAGGGATATGCCGAGGAGTACCGAATGTGTGGTTTGTAAGGAAAATACGTTATGGGGCAACTTTGAACCCCTGTGGTGGCCAGACGGGCCCGGATCCCAGAAAAATATTTTAGCGGAGTTATATATATAACACGATTCCTCACAACTTACTTAAATCTATTATAACAATGGCAGTTGTACTTTGATTTTTTTTTCTATTCCTACATTGTTTCTGTACCTCCTTATCATAAGGAATCAGACGAGAAAAAGAACGGAAAAAAATATTTTATTGTACAATTTTTATTAAACGAACAGTGTCCTCCGAAAAAAAGTGGCTGCTATTATCATTGGTAGTTAAAACGGACTGTCATCATTTGATAATCAAGACAAGCTGTGAAAATGTCGAATTCCGCAGTCAAATGATATCAAACTAAGATTTTGAGATTTTATGAACGTTTGAGTCTTATACAGTTTTTTGGTTTTTAGACATATCATGAAAATTGGTTGCTGGAAAAAAGTGGCTGCTATCTTGATTGGCTGCTAAAAGTGGCTGCCAGCTTGAGTCTGGTTGGTTAAAGGTATAATTTTCAGTATTCAATTACAGACAGGTCCTGATCAAAACAAAACTAATTGACAGAATTATATGTATGACCTCCTCTAAAATGCTTTTGTACATATTTAGTGATATTACAGTTTAAGATCCACTATGTCTTTTAACTTTATACGTTTAGCTTTTGTCAAAATGCATGGAATACAATAACTGGGTGAACTATGAAGTCTTGCTTATATTAACCAAGGTACATGTCAGTTGGAAGAGTACTACATAAAATGTAGAAATGCCTTGTGTCTGTTTAAAACTACGTCTACCTAAAGTAACAAGTTCGTTGTCCAAAAAAAAATCAAGCATCATGTCAGTTTCACAGTTATGACATCTTGTTTGAATCATTTTTTTGCGAGGTATACCTTGTCTGTTCCTTAAAAAAATATTTGACTCTACCGTGTTCATTTTATGAAAGAAAGTTTGACGTATATTTTTCAAGACGTTAACAACGAGGAATGGGTGAGTAAAGAGAAAAGCAGTCAACGCTTTGAACCGTCGTCACTCTATATATTCTATACTATGAAATACACGGTATATATTTTCTCTTTATCTCTCGTTTTTAATGGTAAAAAATTTGGTGAGGCAGTTGCCTCATTGCGTCAATGGAAGCCACACAACTGCTCGAATGCGAGAAGTATTGGGCTCGATCCTCGCCCGGTTCAAATCGAAGATTGGTTGCCTCTCTGCCAAGCACGCAATATTTAGGAGTAAGAGTAAAGATGTCTCAATCCTGAGTCAAAATCATGTGTCCGAGTAGGGTGACATGTCTTCCTGCGGTATAATACAAAGTCTGGTTCATATTCATCTTCTCGACCTAAATATGCATATGTAAAATACATATGCAACGAACATTTATATATATGACCCTACAACCTATTAATACTCATATTTTATATTCCACTTCTAACGTTGCCTAAATCCCCCTATCAAAATCCTGGATCCGCATTTGTCAACGAAATCTTATTATCTTATGTTGTTCTATGTTTCTTACCTAACACATTTCCGTTAATGATTTATGCAGTAAACGATTCGCGAAATCTGTGGTCCCGTTTACTCGGCAATTATATTATAAGGGTTAAACACATTTTCTCTAGAGGTTCTTGATGTGCAAACTTGCCCGATTTACACAAAAAATGAATAAATGTTATAAGGAATTTATGTAAAGCTTGAGTTAGCGATCAAGTAAACACACCAATAATCTCTAAAAAATATTAGTTTAATCCTTATAATTCTCAACGCAAACATTTATTAAACCTTCAATTTCAACTTTCTGGGAATCTCGGGATTACATTCATGTATGTTGGGCATAAATTTATCACAATGGAGTCGACTTTACCTGTGTTTAAAAGGTAAAGAACGTAACTTTGGTAGCATGGCCTATCAA